CATGCAAGAGGTGATCTTGGGCAGATGGTATTTCTCCAAATCTTTCATTTGCTTGCCCAGCCTAAGACAGTATCTTTGATGTGTTGTTCCTGCTCACCCTGCTCAGCTTGGTGTTACCCGTTGGTGGTCACTATGCTGTGCACCCCCTAGGTTTCCTAAAGACAGGCTCAGTGCAAGGCTGTGGGCTAAGTCACCACTGAGTGGTGGTGCACTAAAAGCCTGGGGGAACATGGGAAGGTTGACAATCACTGACCAAATGACCAAGAGTCCTTGGAAGCATTAGACATATCTAAAATCTTACAGCAATACAGCCAGTTTATACTACAAACGTAAACAGTGTAACACAGGTCTACAGGGTTTCTATTTTGCAATGCTTAAAAATCTCATTGACACTATGGGGCTTAGAAAAAACCCATTATTACTTACAGCAGTAGGTCTCATTCACCAACACCACATTACCTTTCCCATCCTAAATGGAAGTAAAGCTCTCTTTGGGCTGCTACCACAAAGATCGTAAGGAACATCCATCACACAAATGAGTTTCCCAAATCATTTAAGCATCAGGATTTTCCAGCATGCCAAAGAAATTGATTCCTCTCAGTTTAAATAAGAAAATGCATCTTTCTTTTATGATGTAAACAGTGACAGCTAAAGAGGACTATATCAAACACAAAAAGAAATCTTTTCCATTAAGTAATTTCCAGAGATTGTCATTTTCTTAAAACCACACATACACAAACACACATACACATACGCACACACACTCACACATATACACACACACACACAGAACTAACACAAATTTTAGCTGGCTAGTAAAATCTCAAACTTTGCTAAATTATGTCATTGCTTTTTTTCCCCCCGCTAATAATGGCATTAAAAATAAATAAAATTGTGAAGCTCTACAAAGTAAAATAAAGCTACCATGGAGAAACATGAAAACAGTTGCTAATCCCATGCATTTAGTTGGTTAATCTATTATTTTTATTATATTTTAATAAAATATAATAATGTAAGAAGAGTGATATCAAGTTGAGGATACCATAAGATGTTAACTTTCAATAGGAATAGTTTTCGTTTCTTTGAACTTACTTTTTACAGCCATACATTTAATAATAATGGATTAATAATAAAGAATTTAACAGTAATGAGAAAAATTTCCAGTGCATGGTTTGGATGGTAAACCTAAGATGGGAGCCAATTTGTATCCAGACACCTTCTATTAGCCTTTGCTCTCTCTGGTTTGAGAGAGATAGCTACTTGCAACTTAAACAGAAAAGAGACATCAACTTGCATTCTCCGTGATCTTAATTAGTGTTTCCTACAAATCGATAAGGAAAAGGAAAGAAATAGAAAAAAATGCACAAAGGATGTGAACATGCACTTCACAGAACAGGAAAGTTGGTGGTTGGTAAGCACATGAGGGTATGCTCTCCATCGTTTAGAAAAAGAGGAAGGAAACTTCAAACAGCAGTATGATGCCATTTCATGCCTGCCCACAATTAGAGTAGAAACCTGACCACCTGAGACAGAGTGAGGAACTCCACTCACTGCTTGAGGAATTACAGATCAGTGTGTATATTTTGAAGGAATATTTGGCATCATCTAGAAAAGCTGAATATTGTTATTATGAAATATTTTGAAGATATAAAGGTAGAGAAGATATAACGAATCTCTATGTATCTGTCATCTAGTATGAAAAATGCACACTGAAAATGCCCTGTGTCTCTCTCCTCATTCCCTTTGATCTCTTCTCAGATAAAACCACTGTTTTGAACTTGGTGTTTGTCATTCTAATGCTTATTTCGCTACTTAAGTATGCATGGAGACACCACGTCTTTGACCTTTACATAGATGGTATTATATTGTGTATTCCTTCCTGCAGCTTGTTTTCTTTGTTTTTGTTTTTTTGATGGGGAGGGGGGAGGAGCTCAGCATTATCCTTCTGGAATTTATTCATATGTTCATTTATCTATATAGCCATGATATATGTAGCTGTAGCTTATTAATTTTAACTTCTTATAGTTAAAATACACTGTAAATATTCGATAAATACACTTTGGTAAATATACTGTAGCTTATTTTTCAATCCTCTTCTCCTCTACAGATGATCAATTAGTTTTATTTTTCTAAGTTTCTGGTTTTTTTGCTATTATAAACAGTAGTGCAATAAGCACTTTTTGTGTGGGCATTTCCTGTGAAAATGTGGGTGAGTTTTTCCGGGTGTGTATTGCACTCTATGGAGTAGTATGGAGTTCATCTAGACCAAAACTTCTCAACCTTTACTATGCATTTGAATCTTCTTAAAATACAGATTCAGATTTAGCAGGTCTGGGGTGGGAGTAAACATTTTGCATTTCTAGCAAGCTCCAAGGGGCTGCCAATGTCGGTGGGCCAGGGACCGTGAAGAAGGGGGGTGCTCATGAGATCTCACGGCCGGTCGTTTCCAGGCAGCGCCTCAGCACACTGAGTGAGCACCCCTGGTGTGCTTGCGGTCGCCTCGTCTACACCACAGGCAGATTCGTCTGGTTCACTCTCTGATACTGCATGGACCACTTTGCACAATATGCCCTTCCCAGTCGACTGAATAAACAATAACAAGATTTTCAAGAGATAAAATAGAGTTTCTTTACAAAGTCTTAAAATGGTCATAAAACACCCCTTGAATTTTACATACAAAAGAAGTTATTCTACATAAGTCCTGGCCGGGCACTGGCTCCGAGCCCATGCAGTGCTGAAGTCTGAGGGTTACAACGGTATTTGCCAAGGGGAAAAAATGCTGTGTCCTTCATCTTATATTTTATTTTCTTAACTGATTAGTGAAATTGTATATGGTCTTTTTGGTTTATTTTGCTGCTTTGTTTCTGGTGCGTGCTTTCTTTTAATAAAAACATAATAAATACACTTGGCAAAAAAAAAAAAATTAAAGCGTGAAAAAGAATGAAAGTAAATCTCCACCCACTCTGTGCTCTGGCCCCTCTCTTTAGGGGCAGGTGCTGTTACCAGGTTCTTAAAGACTGTGGCAGGCAGACATTTAAGGTGGCCCTTAAAGTGATCCTAACTTCCTGGTTTCCCACCCTTGAACCCTGAGCTGTGCAGGACCTGGGATTTGCTGCTGACCAATAGAATGTGGCAGAGGGGTTGGGATGGATGTGCTGACGTCTATGAGATCGTGTGATTCAGTTATGTAGGACTGCCCTGCTCACCTCACTCCAATTTCTCGCTTTCCTGCTTGACTTTGAGGAAGCAAATGGCCATGCTGGGACACCCATGTGACAAGGAACCACAGGCAGCCTGCAGGAGGTGACAGTGGCCTCCCACCCACAGACAGTGGTGAGAAAGCAAAGCCCTCAGTCCTGCAACCACAAGCACCGAATTCTGCCAACAACCCCGTGAGTTTGAAAGCAGCTCCTTCTTAAGATCCCCGGATGAGAGCACAGCCCTGGCCCCACCTTGCTTCTAGCCTTGCAGAGAGTCCGACTGAGCCATAGGGGGACTCCTGACCCACAGAAACTCTGCGATAACAAGGGGGTTGTTCTAAGTGCTAAGTGCACGGTGACATTATCACACGACCATAGAAAATTAATACGGCGCTTTTCCAAAAATAGTATACCCCCTTAAAATTTCAAATAAAAGAAAAAGGAGGAAGTCCCCAACAATTGCAGGTGATTTCCTCCAATCTCAGCCAACAGAAAAAGAGAGAGTAAAACCTGTACCTTACCTTTGCTGGTAACTGGGTCTGCTCAACTCAGCTAGGGGTTCCCTTTGAGGCCTCTGCTTAAAAGTAAATATGCAAGTGTCTTTATCTAATGCAAGAATGAAAGGAAGACTTTGGGTTTTCAGAACAATAATCCGCCTTTTTTGTTTAACCAGAAGGATAAAGCACTCAACCTAAAAGAATAGTTATCCACATAAGGCTTGGATTATCACCCCCTAAAGCAGCGGGCTCTTCTGGTATCACCTAAGTAAAGCTGCCGCTGAGCTGGAAGAGGCCAGGCAGAGAGAGCCGCTCAGAAACAAGAGGCTGTGAGTTATAAAGGCTTCAGAAATGTGCTGCAGACTGGACAAGGCTGGTGTTTCAGTCAGGCTGGCTAGAGGCCTCGTGCGAGTTACTTCATGTCTGAAATAACAGATGTTTTCTCATCTGTGGGGCATGATGCATGGTGTGGGTTTAATAAATGTAGGTTCCACCCCCCCCCTCCTAGAAGAGGACAGTAGGTCGTGTTGGAGGGACAGAGGAGGGCGTGCATTTCAAGAGGACTAGACAAGCACATTCGAACTTGATGTTGCCCAAAATACTAAGTGCTCTTGAAAAGGAGCCTTGAGAGGAACCCAGAGAGAGCGTGTGGCTGCTTCCTGGGATCAGAAAGGTCAGGAACTAAGCCCACTGAGCACACACGTACTAGAGCCAGAGCCAGAGACCCTGGCAGAGCCACTCGGGAGCACATCTGAGTGTTTCCACAAGGCATAATGGTTGGGAGAAACTTTCCACGCCAGTCGAAAGAAAGATCTCCTGCTTTAAGTTTACTACTTCATATTTCACTGTAGGCATTAAAAGCTTTCATTCTTCTTGGGAGGAAAAAAAAAAACACATACACTTTCATATACTTGAAGACTATAAATTAAAGCACCTTTTAGCCTTCTCTTCCCGGGCTCAAAAAACCCAATTCACATACCATTTCCTCGGGAACAGCAAATGTGTTTGTGCAGCAGCTCCGGGCCCTCCAAGCACAGCTGTCATTACGCAGTCACGGTGCTCAGAGACTCTGCGAGAAAGCTGTTACCTGCACTTGCCAGTTCAGTAGTCAGGCTAAGTGGAATAAAAAGGGGCCCCAGGCAACGGGCATCCTCCTTTCACTTGTGATACCTCTAAATAGAGACACAGACGCCTGTGTGTTTGCTGTGCTCATCTGTGAGTGTCCTGTCGGCAGAAGGGCGTTTCAAAAAAAATCTACTGGGGAAGGAATGCGAAATAATCAAATGAGAGTCATAAAACGTAATGATGATTACAGAAGGCCATTAACGATTTTTAGAATCAACAGGAATCTGGAGTCTCACCTGTTTCACACCAAAAGGTGCTATTCTCGAGAGAGGCTATGGTCAAACCACTGCCGCTAGGTCATGGGGACAGGGGAGGAGCAGCAGGTGGACTTCCCTGCGGGTACGTACAGTGGAAAGGAATGAAAGGGGGTGGCGGCCCACTCAGATTCCTCTCACCTTCCTCATTCCTCACCCCTACACACCACTCTCTACCTCTCAAGCATTTTGGAAATCGGCCTTCTGACCCTCCAACCTATAATTTATACAGCCTTCTTAGAAAGGAACTAGGATTGCATCTCTGAAAGTGTCACTCAGTCATTTTGCAGGAATCATTTTGGTCTCCTTGGTTACTTCAACCCAGATGAGGTCGGCATCTTTCGCAAGTACAGGCTGAGAGGGGGCCGCTGAGAACGCCAAGCTTCAGGAAACAGGGTGCAGATTACCTGCATTCAACAGCAACAGCAGTAGAAAAGATCAATTTATATAGGGGATGAGGAACTCAATAATCATGCATGTTTTCACTATGAATTTCTTACCGTCCTATGTCATTCATTCATTTACTGGACATTTATTCAGCCCTAGCCATCGCCCACCTCATGTTCTCATTTTCTTTGCAAACATCTCTAATTCCCTTACTCCTCTGTACCTGGTCAGCACCAACACTGGACAAACCAAATATCCACTTACCCCTTTCCTGCTGCTAAGTGGCCACACATTGGCTTCACAAAGCGCACAATTTTATGTAACTGTCGCACTTTAATGCATGTTCATACATTTCAAATGGACGTACAGTGCTGCGTGCTAATCTTACTATGTGCTCCTAAAAGAGTCTCCTTTTCATTCTCTAAGTGTCTTTTTAACATTGTCCTCTTTACCCAAACATTTTATTTCCCTTTTGCTCCCCTCACTCTCAACAGAAGACCTTGCCTTCAGGTTCTAGGAGGAATGAGAAGCAACCAAGTGGGAATTCCTTCCCCTTGCCTCCGGTAAACTGACCAACCTACAAATCATGAATCTAAACTCTTCACCTTCCCTTCAGCTACAGTGAACGAATCATTTCTGCTTCTATTAACCGCCTATCAACCATCCTCTCCCTCCTTCCCAAGGACTTCATGCATGTGAGTATCTTTTCTCTCTACGACATCCTTAGTTTCCTCTTTGGACCAGATGAGTCCAATGCAAGACACACGTGCTCCCAATCTTTACTATTGATTCGATACACAACAGAACCTCAACAGATTGTCTTTGATCCATCTGCCTGTGGCTACAAATCCATTATTCCGGCTTACCCTCCCCAAACGAACATCATCGAAAGAGTTTTCTAGGGTTTTTGTCTTGCCTACACACTTTCCACTAAAACTGCTCATTAAAGTTTCCAATGACCTTCACCTTGCCCAAAGAAGGCAAAATATTTTTGTCTTACTTGATTTCTCTGCAGTATTTGATGCAGCTGGACGTTTCTTCCTTCTTCAAAGACTTTTTCCCCTTGGCTTCTGTGATATCACACTGTCCTTATCTTTCTGTTACTTCCCTGTGGCCACTCATTCATAGCCATTCATGCTCAGTCTCGTTTGTTGACTCTCACCCTTCTGCTGGCCCTTAAATGTTGGAATGTCCACAGGGACATGTCCTTGGACCTCTTCTCTTCCCAATCTATACTCTGCCTAGGTAGTTCCACGTGTCCCATTTGAATATCATTTATAGGAAAATAAGTTTCGCATTTGTGTATATCTAGCTTTTTTAAATATCAGACTCTGACACATAATTGATTATTGACACATTTACTTAGCAACATATCTCTCAGTCTTTCCCTTATCAGTAAGTGACCCTTGCAACTGATGGTCAAAACCAAGATGAAATCCTTTTTGTTTTCTTTCTTCTCTTTATCACTCACATCCAATCATTTAGAAGATTCTGAGAACATCTCCTCTAGAACACATCCTGAATCAGTCTGCTTCTGTCCCTTTCTAATGCCATTACCTGAATCTAAGCCACCATCATTAACTATCTAGATTATTCCACTAGTCCCTCACTGGTCTCTCTGCTTCCAGATAGATATTATCCTTATTTCACATCTGAGGAAACTAAACCTCAAAGGGGTCAAATGACTTTACTCACTCAAAAACAGCTTTGAGAACCTGCTTTGTGTTTCTGGCACTTGCTTAAGTCATATGGCAAATAAATGGCAATGCCTGGTCTTAATGAGATTAACACCCTATTCTCAGTCTCATGTATCAAACTGTTTTCAGGAATGTTCCAGAGCATTCCTTCTAATGCAGAGACAAATACACAGAAAATAATCTCAGTGCGATGTATATAAATGTATCTCATGCTTCTCAAAATCAAAAACAGGCTAACACAGCCTGAAGGCTTTGGGAAGTTTTCTCAAGAAAGTCCAACCGAGCTATTAAAATTTCTGTCAAGGAGCCTGGCCTCTTTTCCTTTGCCTATGTGGCTTCCCTTATCTGGATTGTCCTTAAATCCACATGCCTGGCTAATGACAATTCAACTGCTTAAAAGCATCACCTGATCTAGGGAGCTTTCCTTGGCCTCTCCCTTACTCTGTGTTCTCTAGCCATCTGGCTTTACTTTTACCATGAAACTTTTTACACTTTTCTGCAATGCTTGGTTTATACTTACAAACAAGTTTGTCAAATGCTTTAAAAATATTAGGCACAATTGATAACTATACACATAGATACTTCAAAAATACATGGGTGGATGTCTAAATATCTAACCCCAATTTGCAAAACCTGACACTCTTAGTCATGCCTCTCTCATTAGCTTAAACTTCCTGAAACAGAATTCTGAACGTTTATTGCATACATAGTTGAATGGAAATGAAAGTTATGTCAGTCACTCCACCAGCGTGGAAAACAAATACAGACACTTCCTTTTGGTTTTTCCAACTAATCACTTAAGACTCCTGTGTCCTTCTTAGCAAATTATGTAGTGTCTTTTCTAGGACTCCTCAATTTCCAGTTCCACTGCTAAGAATCTTGGGGATGTACTCGGTCCACAGGTAAGCAATATTGCTTCTGAATATTAGGAAGAGAGAGGGAGTTCTGAAAAGTCCCATAATCTGCAGCCCCATGAGGTCTGGGTAAATGACTTCCTGGTGTGGATCACAATGAGCAGCTTTAGCAGTGTCTCTGTCTGCATCAGGGGTGGGGAACCTTTTCATGTTGGAAGGCTGCATTAATTTAGCTGTAATCAAATAAGGCCACATTTAAGAAACTTCAGCTCGATATACTTAAAAATGTACATTATTTTGTAAAAATCTAACGGCTATGTACTTAATCATTTCAGAAAATGAAAACTATTTGTTAATTTTAAAGTTAACTAACCTTTTAATGACTTTGTTGTGTCTGCCTTTTGTTGTAAAGCACTTGAATATTTGGTTGCAGCATGGAGGCCTGAAGTTTCAGCTAAGGGCGTCTTCATTTGGGTTAGGGAGGAGAACGTAGAGTCTCAGTAATAAGTGGTTGAAGAGAAAGAAAGCATTTTTCAGGCATGTTGCCAAAGGTGTGGCTATCCTACTGCATTTTTCTATATTTCAATTGGATCTTTCTTAGCATCAGACAGTGACTTTAAAATGGCATCTAACTGAGATCTCAATCATTTTCATCTGCAGTTCTGTAGAGATGCCTTGCTGCTATCAGCTAGGTGAGGCTGAAATGCACCATTGAATAGTATATATTTTCCTTTTGAAATATTGCACTAAGTTATTTTGTTAAGTTGAAGACTAATTCATGCTGCTGGTCAGTTAGGGTTCTCCTTGAAAGAACCAACAAAGCAGTTGTTTGCACTTTGAGACGTTAATTGGGGTCTACATGATTACTAGAATAACTTTGAATGCTAGTTTAAACAACATTTTAAATTTTATTTAAAAATATATTTAGGTGTGGTGGCTCACACCTGTAATGCTAGCACTCTGGGAGGCTGAGGTGAGAGGATCCCTTGAGGTCAGGAGTTCAAGACCAGTCTGAGCAAGAGCAAGACCCCATCTCTATTAAAAATAGAAAAAATGAGCTGGGCACGGTGGCACATGTCTATAGTCCCAGCTACTCTGGAGGCTGAGGCAGTAAGATAGCTTGAGCCTAGGAGTTTGAGGGAGGGGGGAGGAGGGAACCGGTATATTCACACGTAATAGGTGCGGTGCACACCATCTGGGGGATGGGCATGCTTGAAGCTCTGACTCCAGTTGGGCAAAGGCAATATATGTGACATAAACATTTGTACCCCTGTAACATGCTGAAATAAAAAAATTAAAATTAAAAAATAATATTTATAATGACGTTATTAATTTTAAAAAATATTAGCATTATTGAAAAATTTTTGGCATATATTAATTATAATTCTATTTTGTCTTTCAGTTTTAATAGATAAATTTTGAATATTTCAAAGGGAAAATAGCTGAAAAGATGCTAAGATGATCAGTTTTAAATTGCTTATCTCTATTTTATTTACATTTTCAATGAAAATATATTAAAATCTTAAATATTTCAATGCAATTACATTTATATTTTAATTACTTAGAAAATTACTGTCAAAATAGAATATTGATTATGTGAAAATATTAATCATATAGCACAATTAACAAATTTTGCTGAAATAAAGACAAGAGGAATACATTTCATGAAATAATAAATTATGAGTTATTTATTATCTTTAGCTTATTACTAATCTAAATATTGCTAGTCTATTCACAGAACATGCCAGCTTATGCAATATAATAGAATTAGATAACTTTGATAACTTTGATATTTTGCTAATTTCCAATCACACATCTACTTTAGCTTTATATATGTTTTTTTCACTTAAAAATATATATCCAGATAGGATGACAAAATGTGCTTAATTTAACAGATTTTAGGCGTAATTTATAACTGGGAAATATTAAAAGTTTTAAGTGGTAGGTGGGCCCTTTGGAACCTTGCTTGGGGTCCCATGACATTTTTGTTCTGGCTAGCTGACATTCCTGGCTTGAGCAAGCAGTGATAATGCCGAGGAGTGGGATTCCTTCAGAGAACTGGGGACAGTTTAAATGGCAGCAGCCACATGTACAAAGGCAAGTGACATTTAAAAAATGACTCTCTGAAAACTAGAATTGTGCTCAGATAAGTCTAAGAGGTGCAGCTGGAAAGATGGTTGGGGTTGGAGCTTGGGAAGTCCTTCCAGCTCCACTCTTGGAGTTCACCTGAAGGCAGAAAGGACAGTCACCCCATGAAGGGTTTTAGTCATACAGCAACACGGGCAACCTGCTTCCAGAAAACCTGTTGGATCAAAGCAGGAAGGTGACTTGGAGGGGCTTAAGGCAGGAAACTATTGTAATAATTCAGGAGAGAGGGGATGAGAACCCCAGCTAAAATAAGCAAGTAAGCAGGGGCCATGGGACAGAGGATTTAAGCAGCGCTTCTATGCAGCTTAGAAATACCTGGATGACCAGTTCCTACTTTGGTGCTCCAGGACTGCAGCAGTGAGGGTGTCAATATCCCACTTACTTGTGAAAGTTTAACTTGGTTTGGGATTTTTCATTACTGCATCGAGTTCATGTATCTCATTGTGTGGTGGACGGTGATTATATGGTTGGGGTGACCTTCTGCAGGGCGAAACATAAATCTGAAACAACTTTCCCTCCCTTCCAGGAAGTAGAGACCCTGTCATTCCTGTCATTGTGTTTCTGAAGACCGACCATTCTCCAGCCCCAAGGGAGGTGGGTTTGAATCCTGTCTCTACCACTCACTTCCACCTGTCTTCAGCTTCCTCCTCTAATAATAGTGTATACTTTGTAGGGTTATTGTAAGGATTAAAGGAGTCCATACATTGGGAAGTTTCTAGAACAGTGCCCGGAGCATTGATATCCATGCTAACTATTATTGCACTTTTCCCTCGGAACACCCAACGACGCACAACCACACAGAAACACTTTCAGAATCCCTTGGACCCCTGCATGGTGGTGAGGAGGGACCCCTTCCACACTTGAACTTAGTGGTTAGACAAACCTGCTAGAGCTCCTAGGGCGGACGGTGGTGGGTGGCAGGTCTGCTGCAGGGTAGCTGTGGAGGAAGGACAGAGCAGAGGCTGAATTGGTCCTTCCAGTTCCAAAGGCCCAACCTGTGGCAGCCTGTAGGGCAGAGGTCATAGGGCTACGTGCAGAAAAACACCCTGCTGAGCACAATGGGTCGGAAGTGCCAATTTCTCAGGTTTCTTTTTTTCAAATGCGCACTTTCACACACAATAGATCCCCCCCTAAACCCTATAAAATGACTGCAATTTTCCCATTTTAAGAAGGACCAGTTTCTAATTATAGGGAGGGGCTGTATGCAACAGACAGTTGTAAATCACAAGGATGGGCTCTGCATGCAGCAGCTCTCTTGCTTATGAGCTTCTAATGTCTTCTTCCATCACTGTGGAATATGTTATTTACTCTCTGCCGGAGCTTTGGCTTCTGCCCTTCTACTGGCCATAAAAGTAATAGCCAATGTTTGCGTAAAATGACAAATCTGACAAGGCAAATATTATACATGTGGAGCACAAATCCACCTGAACTCCTTTGGTCCCTTATCACAAGGTTATTTGGATGTGTCAGAGTAAGAGGATTTAGTTCTGTTTCCTTATCAGGGCAAATCTTACAAGCAAGCAGAAGAAATAGGTAAATACAAAGTTTGATTTGAGGGGTAGAAGGAAGGGTCTCCGTTCAAATCCTCAACCTTCACAAAATCTATCTCCCCATTGGGCTATTGCATTATATCAAATGCTATCCTTTGGGGTTATTTGCACTTCAAGGTGTGGCAACTTAAGCTGAAGTAATATATTTCCTCTAGTTGCATAATTCAACATCAGTTAGTCTATAGTAGAAATATTTATTTCAGCATGGCAGTAGTTCCAAGGACACTGGGCTACAATTTGCTCATCATGTGAAAGTATTAATAGGTAAGGGCCCACTTGGATGCTAATGATGTAGACAATTCCTCTTAGATCAAGTGTCTCACTGTGGCTACTGCACTCTGCTTTGGCTCAGTTGCCTGCTTATGACTCTATATCATGAAGGAAAAGCCACCAACATGGATCATGATGAAAAGAATTTAATTAGCAGCTTAATGAAAGGTTAGTAATTTCAACATCCCATCTCCTAAGAACCTGTGCTAGTTCCTAGGAGTAAATTGCCAATTGTGTAAAATATCTAGGAGCTTAAAGAGGGCTTTTCTAGGACTATGTTCTAAGGGAGGCCATGCTCTAACCTTGGGAAAACAAACCAAGGTCAACTAGTAACCACTGGCCAACCATCAAGGAAACAAAAGAATGGAACAAGATACAACCTGGAAAAATGGAGTCAAGGAGACTTGACTGAAGGTCAGGAGACTCTGCCTTGTCATGAAGTCTAAAATATGTCTTAAGCACTTCATTTTAGATAGTGAAGGTTTCTGAATGCTCTAGTAAAGTACATCTTTAACTCTATATGCAATTTATTGATTTACTCAAGAGTATATAAGTCCAGAAGAAGTCAGATGTCATTACATTGGAAAATGACACATTTCAGAAGCAGCTACTACATACATTTCTGGTAGCCAACTCACCATCAACCCACACTGTATTAATTTGTATACGGAATGTCAGAAATGAGTTTTTATTGGTGAAAAACATAATTTGTTGACTAATACAAGAGCTATTAGAAAGGAAATCTCACTGGCAAAATTCATGGTTTACAAGATATGTAGATGAGCTGAAATATTTTAGAGACATCTTCCCAACCTTCCATCCCTCTCATCTTGCATGACCGTAGTATAAGAATCCAGCAAGGTCTGTGGCTTCCACACTTAGGCATGACACCTGAAATACCTAAATGGTGCTTTGTCCAGCCATTAGCTTGGAGGATTTCTAGTTGTCTGATGCTAACTGTAGGGTCCAGATTACTGTCTCTGGAATATTGTTGTATTGAGTTCAAGAGAACCTTTTATGAAAAGCAGGGCTAGAACACTTAAAAGGTCTGAGATCTGGAACTTCATTGAATGAACAGAACACTTTGCACAAATTATTTTTATTTCTTGGCATAATGTTATTTAATAAACTTCTCGCGTGAAGGTTAGAATTTGCAACATACGCTTTTTACAACCTAGAAGTGAGACTGTGTGTGAATAGCTACTCATCATCTACCTCAATCATTTTTGGTAGCTATTATTCTCAACCAAACAAACAAAACAAAACCTCTTTTTCACCTCTTCAGGATATAATTTGAAATAATTTTCTAGAAGGATAATTACATTATGTGACATGTAAATATTTTTCCAAATATAAAGTTCTGTGGGAACATTTTTCTGGGAATCTGAGTCAAGAGATCCTAGCACAGGTTAAGAGAAAGCCTTGAGATCTTAAAGTGGAGATGATATTGAAAAAGAGCATGGGAGGGAGTAGGAGAAACAGATTTTTGCCTTGGTTCTGCCACCAGTTATCTTGTCTGTGATTGGATTTTCATCTTGGGCTTCATGATCCTCAGCTATAAAACAAGGAAGATGAGTAGCAGGGCCTCAAATATTCCTCTGGTTCTCAAGTTCAATGGCTTTCATGTACGAAGTTCAAAGAGGGAAGTAGTAAATAGTCCTCCCCACTTCTGTGGCAAGTCACCAGGAAGACCATTCCAACCCAACAGATTGACCCCCTTGCCTGAAAGTCAGATAACTGGAGCTTCACTTAGATGGGCAATTTTACTTTTAATACAGTATTACTAGGGGAGCATGGGAATTTATTTTTGCCCTCATATCTTAGTAAATACAGTGATTTTTAAATTTTATTTTAAATTGACAAATAAAAATCGCATGTATTTATGGGGACCAATGTGATATTTAATATTTTGATATGTGATATTTGTAAACATTGTGGAATGATTAAATTAAGCTAATTAATATATCCATCACCTAACATACTTATCTTTTCTTGTGTGGTAAGAACATTTAATACCTACTTTTAAAGAAATTTTGAAGTATACAATACATTAGCATTGAATTTCCAGTTCCAAAATGGTGGTGTAGAAGCAAGATGGCCTCACCCCCCCACCACAGGACACCAAAAACAAATATAAACCCTGAGATTATCACCAGCAATAGCCCAGAACTCAAATATGAGGATAAAACAGTTCCCAGGGCCACAGAGAAGTGAATGAACTTCACACGGGTGGTAAGAGAATTAGACTTTCATATCCACAGTGCCCCTCCCCCAACTTTGCCCAGCACCAAGCACATGGAAAATTTCCCCACTACTTACGGTTTCTCCACTTGTAAAACTGAGATTGAATTTGACAACCAGCTTCTGTACCATCTTGGGTTCCCTGGAAGGAGACCTGTCCCTACTTCAAAGCACAGAAGGGATCATAAGTGCTTGAAAGGAGAAATATCCCTGGAGACAGCCAGATACAACGGGAGGAGGTGAGGCTACCATCCCCAGTTTCAGAGAAACTCTTCTCTGTGACTAGGTCAAAGAAGACATCAAATCAGAGTAGCTGTTCAGCAGCATATGCTATAGGTGGTAGGTACCACAGGCACCCTGGGCATGACCTCCTCCCCAGCCTTCCCACATGCCAGAATGTCTCCACTGTGACCTCTTCCATTTGCTCCACTGTGACCTCTTCCATTTGGAACAGGCAGAATTCTGATCATGTACTAGAGCTGAGGCAAACCTGGGCTTAAGTTTCCATCTGGTGCTGAAAAAGACCAAGTGACCTAGTGGAGAAAAGGAAGAAATTCAACAGGAAAATTATAAAGACTCTCTAAGCAAACATATACAATAAAAAACAAGACAAGCCAGATAGAGAAGGCTAAAATAAATAAGGCTTCCTTTAGTACAAAGAAATAGATGCACATCCACAAGAAACAACAGAAAACAGGGAAGTATGATCGCCCCAAAATGGACAAAGCAAGAAATCAGTGACTGACCCTAACATAATGGTAATACATAATACTCTGAGCAAAAATTCACTTTAGTAGGTTTTAGAAAACTTGGTGATGTCCAAGATAACACAGAAAATCAATTCAGAAATTTATCAAAGAAATTTAACAAAAAGATAGAATTAATACAAAAAAAAAACCCCAGAAATCTTGGAACTAAGCAATGCATTTGCTGAACTGAAAAATTTATTAGAAGCTCTCAACAGCAAAATGGATCAAGCAGAAGAAAGAATCATTGAGCTTGAAGACAGGTTATTTGAAAATACATAGAGAAGAAAAAAGAAAAAAGAGTGAGAAGGAACAAAGATCACCTATAAGATATAGAAAATTACCCCAAAAGATCAAATCTAAGAATTACTGGTGTTCAAAAAGGAATTAAGCAAGAGCAAGCTTATTCAAAAAATAATAATAAAACACTTTGCAAAACTTGAGAATGATATAAATATCTAGGTATAAGAAGATCAGAGAACACCAACCAGATTTGACTCAAATAACACTACTCTAAGGCATATAATATCAAGCTCTCAAAGGTCAGGAACAAAGAGAGGATTCTAAAAGCAGCAAGAAAACAGAAGCAAATGACATATAAAGGAACTCTATCTAGCAAGACACTTTTTAACAGAAACCATACAGGCAGGGAAGGAGTGGAACTACATTTTCAAAGTGCTGGAAGAGAAAAACTGCCAAATCAATAAACATGATACATTACATTAACAGAAGCAAAAAGAAAAACCATACGATCATTTCAATAGATCCTGAAAAAGCATTCGATAAAATTCAATATTCTTTTATGATAAAACCCTCAACAAACTGGATATAGAAGGAACATACCTCAAAATAATGATGGCCATACATGACAAACCCACAGATAACATCATGCTGAATGGGGAAAAAATCAAAGAGTTTCCTCTAAGATCTGGAATAAGACGGGGATGCTCACTTTCATCACTTTTATTTAACATAATTCTGGAAGTACTGGCAGGAGCAGTTAGCCAAGAAAAATAAATAAAGGGCATTCAAATTGGAAAGAAAGAAGTTAAATTATCCTGCTCACAAATTATATGGTCTTCTATTTAGAAAAACCTAAAGACTCCTCCAAAGTACTGTTAAACAAATTCAGTAAAATTTCAGGATATAAAATCAAAATACAAAAATCAGTAGTATTTACATATGCTGATAGTGGACAATCTGAAAAAGAAATAAAGAAAACAATCATATTTACAATAGCCACAAAACATAGGAATCAATTTAACCAAAGATGTGAGAGATCTCTACAAGGAAAACTATAAAACACTGATGAAAGAAATTGAAGAGGACACTAAAAAATGGAAAGATAGTCCCTGCTCATGGATTAGAAGAATTAATATTGTTAAAATTACAAAGACTTTTATTAAGTATGAAATGTCTAATTTTCTTAAGCACTAAGTTTCACAGTTGCTATCACTGACATTTCACTTTGCTACTTCTTGTTTTATCTTTAATGTGAAGGACATCTTCAGTCTTTCAAACACACCTTGTGGCTTGTCATTACCTTTCCATTTTTTTTAGAGCAATTTTTGTAAAACCATGGGTAAGTAAAAAATTCATGTCATTTTTGAACATGAGTGCCATCGTGGAACCTATGCAGTGCAGACAGCTCAAGATATCAATGAAGTGTTTGGGAAGGATGTGGCTAATGAATGTACATCGATGGCTTGAGAAGTTCTGTTCTGGTAATTTTAATATTGAAAATGAGCCTCATGGGTGGTCTGAGACCAAGGTGGATAATGATGAGCTGAAAGTTGTAGTGGAAGCAAACCCATCTCAACCTATGTGTGAATTAGCAGCAAGTTTTGACATTACTATTTCAACAATATTGAACCATTTGAAACAAATTGGCAAGGTAAAGAAGCTGGATAGATGGGTTCCACATGAATTAAATGAGTGTCAGAAGAGAAATAATCTAGAAGCTTGTCTTTCCTTGCTGTAATAACATAAAGGAGAACCATTCCTGGACCATATTGTTATGTGTGATGAAAAATAGATTCTTTTTGACAATCCATGCATTCACCACAATGGTTGGATAAACACGAAGTGCCCAAATACAGTCCAAAACCAAATATTCATCAAAGAAAGCCGATGGTGTCTGTATGGTAGTCCAGCACTGATATTATCCACTATAGCTTCATGAAACCTGGTCAGGTGTTTATAGACAATGTTTACCACAACTAATTTATGAAACAATAGAATGCTTGCAATTAACCATCTGAGATTGGTCAATAGAGACAGGCCAATCCTCTTGCAAGATATCGCTTGACCACATGTTGTACAAACAATGCTGCTCAAAAACTACAGAAGCTGGACTTGGAAACTCTTTGTTATCCACTATATTCACCAGACCTGCATCAACTGACTACCACTTCTTCCAGGCTTTGAACCATTTTTTGCAAGGAAAAATATTTAATTCTCAACAAGCTGTGGAAAACACTTTTTGCAATTTCATTGCCACTCACTCTCCAGGCTTCTTTGCTGCTGACATAAACAAGCTACCATTAAGATGACAAAACTATATTGATAGTTTAGGCACATACTTTGATTAATTGTACTGCTTCTTGTTTGAGATATAATGAACTACATTTTGGATTTGAAATCAGACATTTCATATTGAATGACCTAAATACCTAAAGCAATTTACAGATTTGATACAACCTCTATCAAAATACCAAAGACATTCTTCACAGAAACAGAAAAAAATAATTCTAAAATTTATATGAGACCACAAAAGACCCTGAATAGCCAAAATAATTCTGAGCAAAAAGAAAAAAGCAAGAGGCATCATACCACCTGACTTAAAAATGTATTCCAAAGCTATAGTAACCAAATCAGCACCATACTGGCATAACAGACACACAGACCAAAGGAACAGAATAGAGAAGCCACACATAAATGCATGCATTTATAACCAACTGATTTTCGACAAAGACGCCATGAACATACAATAGGGAAAAGATGATAGTCTTATAAATAAATAGCTCTGGGAAAACTGAATAACGATATGCAGAAGAATAAACCTATATTCCTATCTATCCTCATACACAAAAATCAAACAAAAATGGATTAAAGACTTAAACCTAAGACCTGAAACTATAAAACTACTTGAGGAAAACATTAGGGAAATGCTTCAGGACATAGATCTTGGCAGAGATTTCTTGAGTAAAATCTCAAAAGCACAGACGACAAAAGTAATAATAGACAAATGGAATTAAATCAAGCTGAAAAGCTTCTGCACAGCAAAGTAAACAATCAACAAAGTGAAGAGACAACCCACACTATGAAGAGAAATATTTGCAAACTATCCATCTGACAAGGGATTAATAACTAAAATATATACAGAACTAAAACAATTCAATAGCCAAAAACCAAGTAATATGATTTAAAAATGGGCAAATGATCTGAACAGACATTTCTCTAAAGAAGACACATAAATGGCCAACATGTTTATTAAAATATGTTCAACATCACTAATCAGAGAAATGCAAACAAAATCACAATGAGATATCATCTCATCCTAGTTAAAATGACTTTTATCAAAATGACAGGGAATAATGGATGCTGATAAGGATGTTGAGAAAAGAGAACCCTTGTACACTGCTGGTGTGACTGTAAATTAGTGCAGTCACTATGGAGAACAGTGTGGAGGCTCCTCAGAAAACTAGAACTATCATATGATTCAGCAATTGCTCTACTGGGTATATATCTAAATTAAAGGAAATCAGCATATCAAAGAGATAGCTACACTCCCATGTTTATTGCAGCACTATCGGCAATAACCAAAAATAAGAAATCAACCTTAGTGCCCATTAGTGGATGAATGGATAAAGAAAATGTGGTATATGGCACAATGGAATATTATTCAGCCTTGAAAAAGAAGGAAATCCTGTCATTTGCAGCCTTCTTATTTTTTTAGTGATCATCTAGTCTTGTCACCTACCTCCTTTGCTGAGGACATTTTCCAGCAGATTTCCAAAACAATAGCTGCATGAGACAGACATTAGAACCTCTGCAGGTCTTAGCTTGCTTTTATGGTTGCTAGCTATTGTCATACTTTTGGTGGGTATAGAATTCTGGATTAAAAATAAGTTTTCATCAGAGGCTGCTTCACTATCTGCTAGTATGTAATGACAGTGTTAAGAAACAAAAAGCCATTTTGATATCTCATCCTTTGCTTTTTGTCCATGGAGGACTTAGGGATGTTTTTTATTATTCTGGAATATTTTTAAATTTGGCAAAGATACATCTCAGTGTGGGTGTCCTTGCTTTAATTATGATGGACACTCATGTTCTTTGTTTCTTGGAAAGTTATGATATTTTGTTGATAATTTCTCCTCCATTTTCTGTTTTCCCTTTCTAGAGTGTTAAGATTGAATTTTCACAAGGAAATATAGTTTTCTCTGGTTTGGGATCTTCTCTTGGGTATTAAGACCTAAACTTCAACAGCTACAGAGTTGATACTGCTAAAGATTTTTCAGCCACAAGTAGTTCCCTATTTAAAAGATATATTCCAGATGGGCATCTATCTCCCGTTCCCAAGTTGGGGAGTGGGCAGTTGCGTGGAAGTGACTCTCTGCCAGAAACTAATGGCTCCTGGTGGCAAGAAGCCCAGGACAAAGCAAGG